AGGTGTTGCGCATTCGTAAATTCCTCAGTTATTCTGCGCTCTGGAACACTCAGCTGAGAGTGCTCTGAATTCAGAGTAAAACAGAACTTAAAGGGTATGATTTACTAAGGCACCATAAAACAGAACTTAAATGGTATGGCACCTTGGTCTATTTCTGATATTCAAATCTGAAATCAGAACAGCAATAACATGCAAATTTCATCCACCACCACAAAAATACTTGTAACAAATCCCACCAATGTTTCTTCATGGAAAATTATCATTAGTATTATTTAACCTCTTGAGATGGGAAAACGTGTTTTGTATTAAGTTGAACATGTGCTCTTTATGACAGAATGTAAAAAAAAATAGGTGAAATTAAAAGGTATTTTTTGTGTGTGTTTTTTGCCCTCCATACCAAGTTACACTTCTCAAAACGAATTAGTGGAACGACCCAGCCGGCTCTGGTCAAAAGTAGTGCACTACATTTTAGTCCTTTAGCAGACGCTCTTATCCAGAGCGACTTACAGTTAGTGAGTGCATACATTGCTCATACAGGCCCCCCCGTGGGAATCGAACCCACAACCCTGACGTTGCAAACGCCATGCTCTACCAACTGAACTACACGGGGACATTTGGTGACATTTGGGAGGCAACCTTGGGCTTGTTTCCAATATGATCATGCATCTTAACATGAATAAAAACGGATACAGTATGAAAAAACAGATCAGTGATGGAATAAGATGCATCGATGATCCCGTCTTACCTGTCACCGCCTTGGCTATAACAGATGAGCTGTGCTCCTTGTTGCCTCGTAACTGCAAACGGTAGAGAGTTACAGACTGTTATTTCCCTTTCTACACACACCCTGAATTACAATGTGATTGGGAACCAACCAATTTGCACAAGAGTGATTATACTAGGGCCAAAACATATTCCCTGGACAAAGTACAGAATATGGTAACGTTAAGATAGCTAACAAACATCAACAAATTCGCAACAGACTAACGTTAGCTAGCTAGCCAAGGTTTGGAAAGTAAAAACAAACATGTCCATTTACACATCAACGCTGAAGTTAAACTCCTTATTTGACATCTTTGTTTACGGTGACTGAATGTTAACTAACTAAATGCACTAAGTAATGTTGATTCAATGCCAATCCAAAACTTGATATCAGCAATGAGTGAGGCAAATTTGTGCGACGTGGCTAACGGCAATTAGCGCCTTATAACGTCGCTAGCTAACGTTAGCAAACTTGCAGGGTGCACAAAGCACTTCAACGTGGCATGCCATTCCGTCTATATGTTAAGAAATGAACCGAATCAGATTTTGTACAAACCTGAGTGTCGGTCTCGGGTGGCCATTCCGTATTTATAAGTAAATCATACAAAATGTTCTCATCTTCCACTTCAACGTTGCTATCATCAGCCATGTTTGCGTTGATAGTTGACCCAAACTCTGTGACCGACCATTGACAAGTGTCCACAAACTACGGAATACCGGATGGTTAAAAAAGTACTGTTTAACAAAACGCGGTTTACCCATAGACGTTAAGGCGGTTTCCCCAAAGACTGTTATAACTAAGCCAAGAGAGAACAGAGCCGGTCGTTTCCAACGGGAGAAAATGAATCACAGTGAGCGGAACAAGAACGAGATAGCCATATCCTATTGGTGCGTTCTAGCATTTATTTACATATTCTCGTTAGGGAACCGCCTACTCTAAAGTGCGCATGTGCAATATCTCAATTCCCACCTTTACTCCTAAACAACGCAGTTTTTTTTTAGAAACTTTGGCAAAGGGTAAAGTCTACAAAAACGTAGTCCACTCTGTTTGTTACATATTCTAGTTCTGGAAACAGAAAACTGTATTTGAGATCAAATGTTTAATCGAGGAGAAAATTAGCAGAATGTCGGCCAAAATGCATCTCCCACTGGGCTTCCTCTCATCACCATATGTGGTATTGAATGGAACCGCCAACCGGATGCTTCACATTTATTCATCCGGTGAAATATCTGTCTCATTGTTCCATCTGTGGTTTTACCAAGCCGGAGTTACAAATAATCAAATAAAACACTGATTCATAAGACGTGTTGATGTTACTAATATATATGTTTTATATAAATTATAATGACCTAAAAGGAGAATGTTTCAAAAGTACTCGCCTTATGGAAACTACATTGAAAAGCCAAAATAAACAATTCAGAAGAGCTACATCTTCCTCTTTTTCTTCTTCAGTGGGTTTTATCGGCGGTTGGCATCCAACGTTGTGGTGCATTACCGCCACCTACTGTACTGGAGTGTGAGCCAGCGACAGGGAGAAACTAAATCCTACCTGCCAACCCCGTTTCTCTTTTAAAAAATAACAAAATATTTGAGACTATATCTAATGACGTTCTACTCAATATACTCTTTAAACTAATTTCCTGTATCGCCTTCTCCCTCATACTGGATCTCATCCTCTCTCTTTCCCTCTTATTTTACTGTATATATAGCCTCCCTACTGTCACTTTATTTTACTTCTGCTCTTTTTTTCTCAACACTTTTTTGTTGTTGTTGTTTTATTCTTACTTTTTTTGTTTAAAATAAATGCACTGTTGGTTAAGGGCTGTAAGTAAGCATTTCACTGCAATGTCTGCACCTGTTGTATTCGGCGCATGTGACCAATAACATTTGATTTTATTTGATTTGATACTGCCCACACTGTAGCAATACATGCTCCACGGTCTCTGTTTCCTGACAATAATCACACTTTCCTGTTGGATGCTTTCCTATCACATTTAATTTCTTATTCAACTGGCTGTCTCCCACCCTTAATCTTGTAAAAAAAATACCCTCCTCTCTTCTGTCCCTTCCTGCCGTCCTCCCCTCCCCAACTTTCCTCTGTACTTGAAATAAATGCCTTCCCTTATTATCTCTATTCAACTGCTCCTGCCATCTCTGCACCATCACTGTATATATCAGTCTTTTTGCCTCTGCCTTGCTCATTGACACTTCAACATCAACATCCCCACTACTAAGTGCCTGTTCATCTACAGCCTCGTTCCCCTCCACCCCCACATGGGCTGGGACCCAAGTAAATCTTATCTGAATACCCATCTGTTTAATCCTGCCATGGTTTTGTGGCACCTCATAAAGCAGGTATTGTCTGCTACGTGAGCTAAAGGACTGGAGAATCATTAACACTGCACATGAATCAGAGCAAATAACTACTCTGTCTTGTTTGACTTCCTCCACCCACTGCAAGGCCAACAGTATGGCCATCAGCTCCGCCGTATATACAGCCAGATGATCTGTAATACGTTTCCTGACTTCCACCCCACATTCCTGCACTACAAATGCTGACCCAGTACGTCTTGTCCTTGGATCTTTTGAACCATCTGTGTAAATGGCCACAAAATCCTAATACACCGTTTCCAGACGTCTCTTAGAGAAATCAGACGGATCAACACCCTCCCTATCTTTCTGTAGTCTCTCTAACACTTCTAGATCAACTACTGGAGGCGGGAGTAGCCATGGTGGATTTACAGGAATAACTACCGTTGGACTAAACTCCCTTCCATCCAGTCCCATCTCCTTCGCCTGGGTATTACCCACCCACCCAAAGCTCGTGTTCTGTCTTCGCTCATGTTCCCAGCATGCCTGTAAAATCCCTTTCGCAGGATGAGACACCCCATGTCCTTGTAGGTTGACCCAATAATTAATTGCCAGCTGCTGTCTCCTCATCTGCAATGGCATATCCCCCATCTCCACCTGTAACGCAGTCACTGGGGACGTCCGAAACGACCCCACTACATATTCTGAGTCCTTGCCCCTGTATGACCTTTCCAGTTAGGTCCGGGCTGCCAAACCATATGCTATACTGCCATAGTCTATTACAGATCGGATCAATGCAACATACATGGTCTTCAATGAAGAACGCCCAGCCCCCCACTCCTTCCCCGTAAGACAGCGCATCACATTTAGCACCTTCTTCCACTTTCCCACCACTCTCTCAATGTGTTCTGCCCAGGTCAGTCTAGTGTCAAAGTATACCCTGTCGTAGTAAATATAAAATGTTATAGCTTGGTCTGACTAAAATCTTGTGCATGACCCATTTTAATGTTAGGAGCTTGTTTTCAATCAATGCTGTTCCTATGCAAGAACAATGAACAGAGGACCATATCTTGTCAAGGACAACACCCACGCCACAGGCCACAATCACTGGTTGCTCCCCACGAGTTTTTCCCTTGAGACATACACATTCACACACACATCTCCATGCATACGCACACTCATTCTCATGCCTCACGAGTTCTTTGCTTTGTGGACGCACACACACACAAACTGCACTTCTTTCTACTGGTCGGGTGCCTAGGGCAGAGGACTCTGCCATGCACCAATGGGGCTTCTGCTCTGGACAGAGCAGACCCGCCTCCTACGCCTCGGGAACTAATCAAGGGACTAGAAGAAGGACCCCTCCCTTTATGTTACATTGTATAAAGTAATGCTGAAAACTCTGTTTTTGATCCCTTTTCAACTGTCTCCATAAGAGGCAACTGAAATGGGTCCATGCATGTAGCTTGAGCAGATACCAGCTATCTCTGTGTTTAATAAACTGCCTTTTGCTTAAGCATATTCCTCTCTGTCTAGCGTCGTTGGTTTTGTACTTCCTCTCCTTATGGTTTCACCAACAACCCCAAGGAACCTGAAGGCCCCCACCCTCTCCAAATTTCTCCCATATAACCTCAAGCATACCTCATCTCCCACCTTCCAGAGGAGCTACTACCACTCAGATCGATTAAAAAGATGCACCCGAAAAAATAAAAATAAAAATAAGACGTCACAATAACCCTGAGCCTGTGTGTGATTTGGATTGGACTATGACTGAAGTAGTGGGATGTTTTTTTTTATGTATCTATTTTTGTCTTTTGTATGATGTTGTTTTATTTTTCCCTTTAAAATGTTCTCCAGTTCACTACCCGTACAGTTGGTGGCGGCATGCACATTAAATTAGTGCGAACGCCATTATAGCGTTGAAAAAGATAAACGTCACATCCGTTTTTGTCAAACTCGTTGGCAAATATGGCAGCGTTTTCTGGTAAGAAATTAAAATATATATTTTGACTGTATTCTCACTGTTATCAGAACTTATTTATAAGTGAACATATTTAGGATTGATTTGAGTCCTGTTCTGCTAGTTTGTGCCAATAATGGTTGCCTTTGGTCCACAGAAATGGGCGTTATGCCTGAGATCGCCCAGGCAGTCGAGGAGATGGGCTGGCTGTAAGTTCACACCGTTCTCAGCTCCACGATGAACCATAACATCAATGGAGTTGAGCGAAGACAAACTGGGCGGACTGAACCTCCGAGGCGCTGTCAGTCGATACTTGTAAAAAAAAAATGTACATTCTTAAACCCTTGTCGTGTACCTATGTTTGTCCTCAGTAGCTGCGTGCCTTAGTTTGCTGAAATCCATACTTTTTAAATAAAACTTTCGTCAATTATAACCACCGGCTGTTTCGTCATATCGACTGACAGCGACTCGATGTTGTCGGAGGTCCACTCCGCCCAGAGTCGTCGCAACCTAACTCCACAGAGATGTACATATCGTGGAGTTGAGAAACCCAACTAGCTGTAGCTAACGTTAGGCTACTGAGCTAGGTAGCTAGTCAGCGTGTTATATCCTTTGCTATATTCTCGCGTTTTAGCTACGTTTTATGCTAAACTGATTTTTCTTCATCAGTGACCAGCAATGTCTCACTATGGTCACCAATGAATGTAGCCATACTAACTATAGGGACTAGCTACGTGATGACAGTCATGTATTCGTTCCATGCACAAGATATTGGTATAAACTGTATGGCAGAAGGCCGAATACGCATGTTATGTAAACACTTTGCTCTGACTATCACTTCATCGTAATTCATGAATCGAATGGCACGCATGAAACACCTGTTGTCGAGCAATTTGATTTAAGACAGTAATCAGTTTTCGTCATTCCACGGGGGGCAATTTGATCTCAATTGCATTCCTCTTAAAAGGGCTCTGATACAAGCATTGCTAGCACGTCAATTGTACGGTGATCACCTTAGAAGTTTCAGAACATCTACTTCTTGGTTTGCAAGAGTTATGAGAATTGCGATCAAGGATTAGTTATGTACGTTTTACAGACTACCGCCCCCATACCATTAACCAATCAGATAATCCGGATCAATACCGTTCTGTGCATCTTGGAGCTCTCATTCGTTATCGACCTTATACTAGTCGCGGTGTATTTGATCTGCGCATGTGCCAACAACAGGTACTGCAAGCATCCCTCTTAAAGGCGCTGCATAGTCAAACCGCCATCTGCATTGGCCGTGCAGCATTTACGGTGATACAGCCTCTGCAGAAGTCAGAACATTCATACTTCTTGCGGTTTGCAGAGCTGTTGTGAAGGAATTTGTCAAGGAAGTGAGTTGGTTTATACAGGACCACCCGCCCCCCACCTACCGTTAACCAATCATGTCAATACGGAGCTCAATTTGGCCTCTGCTTGCGTCTGTGGCTCCTCAATTGCGTCACACCCTTAATACTGAGTCGCCGACTCCATTTCGGATCAAGCATAAATTGGCTATTATCGATGAGTGTAGTGAGTTAGGAAAAACTTAAAGTATGCATCTTAAATAATTTTCACAATCACATTTTATATGTCTGAACTGGAATCAAATAGTCTGCGCAAAAATACCATGGTCCACTGTGGTATAACATTTTATTTTGATTGGCTATTTTATATATTTATCCGAAGTCCCATCAGTAACCTGACTTCAGATGTGTCCATCGAAACAGGATTATTCTGGAAATCGTTCTTGCAAGGCATGTAAACGTGCTCATTGATTGTCATCCAGCTATGGTCCTCTGTAGCTCAGCTGGTAGAGCACGGCGCTTGTAACGCCAAGGGTAGTGGGTTCGATCCCCGGGACCACCCACACACCAAAAAATTTATGCACGCATGACTGTAAGTCGCTTTGGATAAAAGCGTCTGCTAAATGGCATATTATTATTATTATTATTATTATTATTATTATTATTATTATGTAACTACTGACTGTGACTGTCCCAGCCTCCCCACAGACATCCAGGCGGAGTCCATTCCATTGATCCTGGGAGGAGGAGATGTACTCATGGTGAGAAACTGGCCATTTTATATAAAACAGTTCAACCATTACTAATAATTCAGTGTATTGACTCCACCTGATCCTGTTGCCGATTCTGTTGTCTTCAGGCGGCAGAGACTGGGAGTGGTAAGACTGGGGTGAGTACAACACCTTCACTCCATACAGTGTTATTGTCAAAACCAGCACCTAATAGAGTCCAGCGGTCCTCCAAACTTATCTAGCATGAGCTTCTTTAAAAAAAAAATGAAACATGTCACCAGCTTTCAAATAGTCCCATTCTTCTCTTCTCTCCTCTCCCCTGCAACTCTTCTCCAGGTCCTTGGTGTACAAGAGATGAGTTTTGTGTCAATATACCTGGGAAAATAATGGTTAATAAACAACTGAGGGGCCCCATAAAATTATCATCTTCTTCTGTATTTTCTGGAATTGTGTTAATTTATTTTCAGTTTTTTACTCTCAATAGTACAATTATTAATAGAGCAACAACGGACATGATGTTCTGAATCCATGTCAATGCTTAAATCACCAGAAGACCAATTTTGAGGTCTGAAAAAAAACAAAAACATTTTACAATTTTTTTGTGTGTAATTCCCCTTTATTTGCGCATTTAGTGTTAAAATATTTACCAAATAAACTAAAGTAAAAAATAACAATCAAATTACATAACAATAACGATGCTATATACAGGGGATACCGAGTATGTGTGGGGGTACAGGTTACATTTACATTTACATTTTAGTCATTTAGCAGACGCTCTTATCCAGAGCGACTTACAGTTAGTGCATACAATTTTTCATATTGGCCCCCCGTGGGAATCGAACCCACAACCCTGGTGTTGCAAACGCCATGCTCTACCAACTGAGCTACATCCCTGCCGGCCATTCCCTCCCCTACCCTGGACGACGCTGGGCCAATTGTGCGCCGCCCCATGGGTCTCCCGGTCGCGGCCGGCTACGACAGAGCCTGGATTCGAACCAGGATCTCTAGTGGCACAGCCTTAGACCACTGCGCCACTCGGGAGACAGTAGTCCAGGTAGTTTGTACATGTAGATTAAGGTGAAGTGACTATGCATAGATAATAAACAGTGGGTAGCAGCAGTGTAAAAACAGGGGGGTCAATGTAAATAGTCCGGGTGGCCATTTGATTAATTGATCAGCAGTCTTATAGCTTGGGGGGTAGAAGCTGTTAAGGAGCCTTTTGGACCTAGACTTGGCGCTCCGGTACCGCTTGCGGTACAGTAGCAGAGAGAACAGTCTGACTAGGGTGGCTGGAGTCTTTGATAATTGTTTGAGCCTTCCTCTGACACCGCCTAGTATAGAGGTCCTGGATGCCAGGAAGCTTGACCCTAGTGATGTACTGGGCTGTACGCACTACCCTCTGTAGCGCCTTATGGTCGGATGCCGAGCAGTTGCCATACCAGGCGGTGATGCAACCGGTCAGGATGCTCTCAGTGGTGCAGCTGTATAACTTTTTGAGGATCTGGGGACCCATTCCAAATCTTTTCAGTCTCCTGAGGGGGAATAGGCTTCATCGTGCCCTCTTCACGACTGTCTTGGTGTGTTTGGACCATGATAGTTTGTTGGTGATGTAGACACCAAGGAACTTGAAACTCAACCCGCTCCACTACAGCCCTGTCGATGTTAATGGGGGCCTGTTCGGCCCTCCTTTTCTTGTAGTCCACGATCATCTCCTTTGTCTTGGTCACGTTGAGGGAGAGGTTGTTATCCTGGCACCACACTGCCAGGTCTCTGACCTCCTCCCTGTCTCATCGTTGTCAGTGATCAGGCCTACCACTGTTGGGTCGTCAGCAAACTTAATGATGGTGTTGGAGTCGTGCCTGGCCATGCAGTTGTGGGTGAACAGGGAGTACAGGAGGGGACTGAGCACGCACCCCTGAGGGGCCCCCGTGTTGAGGATCAGCGTGGCAGATGTGTTGTTGCCTACCCTTACCACCTGGGGGCGGCCCGTCAGGAAGTCCAGGATCTAGTTGCAGAGGAGGTGTTTAGTCCCAGGGTCCTTAGCTTGGTGATGAGCTTTGTGGGCACTATGGTGTTGAACGCTGAGCTGTAGTCAATGAACAGCATTCTCACATAGGTGTTCCTTTTGTCCAGGTGGGAAAGGGCAGTGTGGAATGCGATTGAGATTGCGTCATCTGTGGATCTGTTGGGGCGGTATGCGAATTGGAGTGTGTCTAGGGTTTCCGGAATGATGGTGTTGATGTGAGCCATGACCATCCTTTCAAAGCACTTCATGGCTACCGACCTGAGTGCTACGGGGCGGTAGTCATTTAGGCAGGTTACATTCTTGGGCACAGGGACTATGGTGGTCTGCTTGAAACGTGGGTATTACAGACTCTGTCAGGGAGAGGTTGAAAATGTCAGTGAAGACACTTGCTAGTTGTGCCGCGCATGCTCTGAGTACACATCCTGGTAATCCGTCTGGCCCCGCGGCCTTGTGAATGTTGACCTGTTTAAAGGTCTTGCTCACATCGGCTACGGAGAGCATGATCACACAGTCATCCGGAACGGCTGGAGCTCTCATGCATGCTTCAGTGTTGCTTGCCTCGAAGCGAGCAGCAAAGGCATTTAGCTCGTCTGGTAGGCTCGCGTCACTGGGCAGCTCACGGCTGGGTTTCCCTTTGTAGTCCGTAGTAGTTTGCAAGCCCTGCCACATCCGACGAGCATCAGAGCCGGCGTAGTAGGATTCAATCTTAGTCCTGTATTGACTCTTTGCCTGTTTGATGGTTCGTCTGAGGGCATAGCGGGATTTCTTATAAGCGTCCGGATTAGTGTCCTGCTCCTTGAAAGCAGCAGCTCTAGCCTTTAGCTCGGTGCGGATGTTGCCTGTAATCAATGGCTTCTTGATGAATCCCGGAACATATTCCAGTCTGTGCTAGCAAAACAGTCCTGTAGCGTAGCATCTGCGTCATCTGACCACTTCCATATTGAGCGAGTCACTGGTACTTCCTGCTTTAGTTTTTGCTTGAAAGCAGGAATCAGGAGGATATAATTATGGTCATATTTGCCAAATGGAGGGCGAGGGAGAGCTTTGTATGCGTCGGTGTGTGGAGTAAAGGTGGTCTAGAGTTTTTTTTTGTTTTTTTTCTGTGGTTGCATGTGACATTCTGGTAGAAATTAAGTAAAATGGATTTGTTTCCCTGCATTAAAGTCCCCGGCCACTAGGAGCGCCGCTTCTGGATGAGCATTTTCTTGTTTGCTTATGGCCTTATACAGCTCGTTGAGTGCGGTCTTAGTGCCAGCATCGGTTTGTGGTGGTAAATAGACAGCTACGAAAAATATAGATGAAAACTCTCTTGGTAGATAATGTGGTCTACAGCTTATCATGAGGTACTCTACCTCAGGCGAGCAAAACCTTGAGACTTCTTTAATAATAGACATCGCGCACCAGCTGTTATTGACAAATAGACACACACCCACCCCTCGTCTTACCGGACGTAGCTGTTCTGTCCTGCCGATGCACGAAAAACCCAGCCAGCTCTTTAGCTATTGTGTGTGTGTGTGTGTGTTATGTTTAAGCAATAAGGCCCGAGGGGGTGTGGTATATGACCAATGTGCCATAGCTAAGGGCTGCTCTTAAGCACGGCGCAACGAGGAGTGCCTGGATACAGCCCTTATTCGTGGTATATTTGCCATGTATGACAAACCCCCGAGGTGCCTTATTGCTGTTTATAAACTGGTTACCAATGTAATTAGAAGAGTGAAAATATGTTTTGTCAATCATAATTCAGGGCTCGAACCACCCATTTTATAATTGGCTTTTTAAGCCAATAGTGGCTAATCAGGGTTGGGATAATGTCAATGTGGCTTTGATTGGATAGTAGCTGGGAGCTGTTATGTTTGACAGTTTGCGATGGAACAAAAATGTTCAGAATTGCTTGGGGAGCTACTCCTAATTGGGTTCCAAGCTACTGGGATCTGGACCTGTTGGAGACCATAGTTCTAGTCTAAACCAGAACCTACTGGACTCTAGTCTAAAGACATTGGCTCCCCCTTTCTCCCATGAAAGTAATGGTACTACTGTCAATAAAATGTAAAGGTCTAGAGTGAAATCTAGATGTATAATATGCTAACTACTCAAAACATCAAATACTACACCTTCCTCTCGTTCTCTCTCTTTCTGTCCCTCCCTGTTCTCCTTCCCTCCCTGTCCTCCCTCCCTGTCCTCCCTCCCTGTCCTCCCTCCCTGTCCTCCCTCCCTGTCCTCCCTCCCTGTCCTCCCTCCCTGTCCTCCCTCCCTGTCTTCCCTCCCTGTCCTCCCTCCCTGTCCTCCCTCCCTGTCCTCCCTCCCTGTCCACCCTCCCTGTCCTCCCTCCCTGTCCTCCCTCCCTGTCCACCCTCCCTGTCCTCCCTCCCTGTCCTCCCTCCCTGTCCTCCCTCCCCAGGCCTTCAGTATCCCAGTGATCCAGATAGTGTATGAGACTCTGAAGGACCAGCAGGAGGGGAAGAAGGGGAGGACTGCTGTGAAGACAGGTGGAGCAGGTAAGACAGACAGACAGACAGACAGACATCTCTTTTCCCTGTCATCAGTGCTTGAAGTGGGCCGGTGCTATCCGGTGTGGCCCACTTCAATTGATGGAGACATGTATGCGTTAATGCATACATTAAAACAATAAATGTGACTTTGTTAAAAACAATCTAACTGCATAACGTAATGGTAAAATTGTTATTTAAGTGGTAAATCTCTTGATGAACTGGGTAAATTAAGATGGCATAGGCCTGCTCAATACAGGTGTGTATCCATGTCAGAGCAAAAACCAAGCCATGAGGTGGAAGGAATTGTCCGTAGAGCTCCGAGACAGGATTGTGTCGAGGCACAGATCTGGGGAAGGGTACCAAAATATGTCTGCAGCATTGAAGTTCCCCAAGAACACAGTTGCCTCCATCATTCTTAAATGGAAGAAGTTTGGAACCACCAAGACTCTTTCTAGAGCTGGCCGCCCGGCCAAACTGAGCAATCGGGGGAGAAGGGTCAGGGAGGTGACCAAGAACCCGATGGTCACTCTGACAGAGCTCTAGAGTTCCTCTGTGGAGATGGGAGAACCTTCCAGAAGGACAACCGTCTCTGTAGCACTCCACCAATCAGGCCTTTTATGGTAGAGTGGCCAGACGGAAGCCACTCCTCAGTAAAAGGCACATGACAGCCCGCTTGGAGTTTGCTAAAAGGCACCTAAAGACTCTCAGACCATTAGAAACAAGAATCTCTGGTCTGATGAAACCAAGATTGAACTCTTTGGCCTGAATACCAAGCGTCACGTCTGGAGGAAACCAGGCACCATCCCTACGGTGAAGCATGGTGGTGGCAGCATCATGCTGTGGGGATGTTTTTCAGCGGCAGGGACTGGGAGACTAGTCAGGATCAAGGGAAAGATGAACGGAGCGAAGTACAGAGAGATCCTTGATGAAAACCTGCTCAGGACCTCAGACTGGGGCGAAGGTTCACCTTCCAATGACCCTAAGCACACAGCCAAGACAACACAGGAGTGGCTTCGGGACGAGTCTCTGAATGTCCTTGATTGGCCCAGCCAGAGCCCGGGCGGGGATTGTATTGCTATAACTCCCTGCTTTCAACCAATCAGCAACCAGGATCCAAACAACCTGTTTTTATAATGCCAGATACTGTTGTACTAGCGACCTTTGACCTGTCTGTTTCTGTCTGTTCCAGTCTTCAACAAATGGCAGATGAACCCGTATGACCGAAGCACAGCTTTCGGTGAGTGTACCAGTCAAAGGGCTCCTGCCACGTTTAGATTTTCAAGATGGCAGCCTACATTTTTTTTTACCTCTGTCCCCCCCCCCCCTCCTCTCTATTTATCTTCTCCTTCTCCCCTCCAGCCATTGGACCGGACGGACTGTGTTGTCAAAGCAGGGAGTTTAAAGAATGGCACGGCTGTCGCTCTACCAAAGCCATCACCAAGGGTAAGAAACACACACAAAACGTACACTACCAAAGCTATCATCACCAATGTACACATGCTGCCACCAAGGTTAGAAACTGACCTATGTATTGTTAATGTTTATGCTCCGTCTCTTCTCATCTCTCTCCCGCCTCATCTCTCCTCATCTCACTCTCCCGCCTCATCTCTCCTCATCTCTCTCTCTCCCGCCTCATCTCTCCTCATCTCTCTCTCCCGCCTCATCTCTCCTCATCTCTCTCTCTCCCGCCTCATCTGTCCTCATCTCTCTCTCTCCCGCCTCATCTCTCCTCATCTCTCTCTCTCCCGCCTCATCTCTCCTCATCTCTCTCTCCCGCCTCATCTCTCCCTCATCTCTCTCCTCCCCGCCTCATCTCTCCTCATCTCTCTCTCTCCCGCTTCATCTCTCCTCATCTCTCTCTCCCGCCTCATCTCTCCCACCTCATCTCTCCTCATCTCTCTCTCCCGCCTCATCTCTCCTCATCTCTCTCTCCCACCTCATCTCTCCTCATCTCTCTCTCCTGCCTCATCTCTCCTCATCTCTCTCTCCCGCCTCATCTCTCCTCATCTCTCTCTCTCGCCTCATCTCTCCTCATCTCTCTCTCTCGCCTCATCTCTCCTCATCTCTCTCTCTCGCTCGTTCTCTCCATCTCTCTCTCTCGTTCTCTCTCATCTCTCTCCACCTCTAGGGAAGTACTATTATGAGGTATCATGTCGTGACCAGGGCCTTTGTAGGATCGGCTGGTCTACCAGCCAGGCAGCTTTGGACTTAGGCAAGTCTACACACTAAGTCCAGTTCATTCATTGGACGGGTGAAATGAGCATCAGCTGATTGTTTATTCAATGTGTGTGTGTACTTTTCAAATAAACCATCAATGTTTACTGTGCTGTCACTGTCTGTCGATGTTTTAACCATCACTACTGTTGTTGTGGTGTTACCAGGTACCGATAAGTACGGCTTTGGCTTCGGAGGAACGGGGAAGAAATCTCACAACAAACAGTTTGACAGTTATGGAGAGGTACGCTATAGAAACCCAAACATTTACCTATGGCTCTATTCAATCCGTAGCGTTGAAGATCCGCTTTATAATTTTCGGATGGTAAAATGTTTTCAGTGTAAACTTAAACGACTGTCAGAGAGAATCTGAAATTCCCACAATGTCATGGCACCTGCAGGGCCTACTTTGGGTCCCGACCCATAGTTTAAGAAACCCTGATTTAGGGAGTAGGGAGCCATTGGACAGACAGTAGTCAGTCAGTCACCAGTTGTCTCTGTGTGTGTGTGTGTGTGTGTGTGTCCTGTAGGAGTTCACCATGCATGACACCATGGGATGCTACCTGGATCTGGACAACGGACACCTCTCCTTCTCCAAAAACGGTTAGCTGCATTCCTGTGTTGTGCGTACCGTGTAGATCAGGGCTCACCAACCCTGTTCCTGGAGAGCTACCCTCCTGTAGGTTTTAACTCCAACCCTGTTCCTGGAGAGCTACCCTCCTGTAGGTTTGAACTCCAACCCTGTTCCTGGAGAGCTACCCTCCTGTAGGTTTTAACTCCAACCCTGTTCCTGGAGAGCTACCCTCCTGTAGGTTTGAACTCCAACCCTGTTCCTGGAGAGCTACCCTCCTGTAGGTTTTAACTCCAACCCTGTTCCTGGAGAGCTACCCTCCTGTAGGTTTTAACTCCAACCCTGTTCCTGGAGAGCTACCCTCCTGTAGGTTTTATCTCCATCCCTAAACTAGCGCACCTGAATCTAATAATTAGCTGGTTGATAAGATGAATCAGGTTAGTTACAACTAGGGTTGGAGTTAAAAAATCTACAGGAGGGTAGCTCTCCAGGAACAGGGTTGGAGTTAAAATTAGGATACGTGCAAATGTTCATTCCATAATGCAATTAACGGGAAAACACTGTTGTCGAAAGCCACTGCGCATGTGAGCGGTTTCATATGACAGTGATTAAAATGTCCGCTTTAAATATAGAGAGGGGAGATTTTTTTAAGATGCAACAACTAGCATGGGTTGCTAATATGATTATGTAAATAGGCCAGTTTGTCTGGCTTGCCGTTCCAAATAAAATGGAATATGTTTTGCTGATATAATTTTAAAAACAGGTCGCTAGGTGTAGGCAAGACCATAAGTAAATAGGTAAACTGGGATAATACTAAAGAGTTAATCAGGGGGATTTGTCCACAAATAGACAGGTATTGTCCTTTCCATGGTAGCAGAATCTTATCTACTTTTGCTGACAGTAAGGACTCGCGCGCTCTCTCTCTGGTACTGACCTGGGATCTGTCTCTCTCTTTCTCAGGTACTGACCTGGGCTTGGCGTTTGAGATCCCAGCTCATCTGAAGAACCAGCCCTTCTTTGCTTCCTGTGTTCTCAAGGTCACACACACACACACACACACACACACACACACACACACACACACACACACTACCGGTCAAAAGTTTGGACATCTACTCATTCAAGGGTTTCTCTTTATTTTTACTTTTTTCTACATTGTAGAATAATAGTGAAGACATCAAAGCTATGAAATAACACATATGGAATCATGTAGTAACCAAAAAAAGTGTTAAACAAATCCAAATATATTTTGCCTTGATGACAGCTTTGCACACTCTTGACCTGTACAGAATAAAAATATCCCGAAACATGCATCCTGTTTGCAACAAGGCACTAAAGTAAAATTGCAAACAATGTGGCAAATAAATTAATTTTATGTCCTGAATATGAAGCGTTATATGTTTGGGCCAAATCCAATACAACACATTACAGAGAACCACTCTCCATATTTTTAAGCATAGTGGTGGCTGCATCATGTTATGAGTATGCTTGTAATCGTTAAGGCCTAGGGAATTTTTCTGGATATAAAAGAAACGGATTGGAGCTAAGCACAGGCAAAATCCTAGAGGAAAACCTGGTTCAGTCTGCTTTCCACCAGACATTGGGAGATGAATTCACCTTTCAGCAGGACAGTAACCTAAAACACAAGGCCAAATCTACACTGGAGTTTCTTACCAAGACGACATTGAATGATCCTGAGTGGCCGAGTTACTGTGTTGACTTAAATCTGCTTGAAAATCTACGGCAAGACCTGAACATGGTTGTCTAGCAATGATGAACAACCAACTTGACAGAGCTTGAAGAATTTTTAAAAGAATAATGGGCAAATATTGTACAATCCAGGTGTGCAAAGCTCTTAGACTTACCCAGAAAGACTCACAGCTGTAATCGCTGCCAAAGGTGATTCTAACATGTATTGACTCAGGGGTGTGAAGACTTATGTCAATTAGATTTCTGTATTTCATTTTAAATACATTTGCAAAAATGTCTCAAAACATGTTTTCACTTTGTCATTATGGGGTAGTGTGTGTAAATGGGTGAGGGGGGATATTTAATCAATTTTGAATTCAGGCTGTAACATAACATGTGGATAAATCAGGGGGGGTATGAATATTTTCTGAAGGCACTGTAAATACCTATATGACATTAATACTATTTATATTGTTTTGTAAAGGAACAGTAAGCCATACAATTATCTACACATATTCATAAGTTCCAACATTCACTGTTCACATGTAGAGCTCCAACCAATATTCACTCATCTCTTCTCTCCTTCTGACAGAATGCAGAGCTGAAGTTTAACTTTGGGGGGGAGGAGTTTAAGAACGCCCCCAAGACGGGCTTCGTAGCCCTGGACCAAGCTGCTGAGGGACATGTGGTCAAATCCAGCCAGACAGGTAGGGGGTGTGGTCAAATCCAGCCAGACAGGTAGGGGGTGTGGTCAAATCCAGCCAGACAGGTAGGGGGTGTGGTCAAATCCAGCCAGACAGGTAGGGGGTGTGGTCAAATCCAGCCAGACAGGTGGGGGGTGTGGTCAAATCCAGCCAGACAGGTAGGGGGTGTGGTCAAATCCAGCCAGACAGGTAGTGGGTGTGGTCAAATCCAGCCAGACAGGTAGGGGTGTGGTCAAGTCCAGCCAGCCAGGTAGGGGTGTGGTCAAATCCAGCCAGACAGGTAGGGGGTGTGGTCAAGTCCAGCCAGACAGGTAGGGGGTGTGGTCAAGTCCAGCCAGACAGGTAGGGGTGTGGTCAAGTCCAGCCAGCCAGGTAGGGGTGTGGTCTAGTCCAGCCAGACAGGTGAGAAACTAACCAATGAATACTGTTTAGCAACTATTACCTCAATAACCCTGCCACCTTTAGATACCATCCTGAATATACAAACACCATTACTTTTTCCCCTTTCCCCATTGGTACCCTAGTAGTTGAATGTCTCTCTCTCTCTGATGTAGGCAGTGCTAAGGTGTCAGAGGTGAAAGCTGTGTCCAGTGGTCCCAAAGCTCTGATCATTGAGCCGTCTAAAGAGCTAGCTGAACAGACTCTCAACAACGTTAACCAGTGTAAGAGATATGTGGACAATCCCAAGCTCAGGTACAGTACAGTACATACCTCTCTGTCAGTGTCGCTCTCTCTGTCACTGTCGCTCTCTCTGTCACTGTCGGTCTCTCTGTCACTGTCGGTCTCTCTGTCACTGTCGGTCTCTCTGTCACTGTCGGTCTCTCTGTCACTGTCGGTCTCTCTGTCACTGTCGGTCTCTCTGTCACTGTCGGTCTCTCTGTCACTGTCGGTCTCTCTGTCACTGTCGGTCTCTCTGTCAGTGTCGGTCTCTCTGTCACTGTCGGTCTCTCTGTCAGTGTCGGTCTCTCTGTCAGTGTCGGTCTCTCTGTCAGTGTCGCTCTCTCTGTCTGTCAGTGTCGCTCTCTCTGTCTGTCAGTGTCGCTCTCTCTGTCTGTCAGTGTCGCTCTCTCTGTCTGTCGGTCTCTCTGTCTGTCAGTGTCGGTTTCTCTGTCTGTCGGTCTCTCTGTCTGTCAGTGTCGGTCTGTCAGTGTCGGTTTCTCTGTCTGTCGGTTTCTCTGTCAGTGTCGGTTTCTCTGTCTGTCGGTCTCTGTCGGTTCCTCTGTCACTGTCTGTCTGTCACGGTCTGTCTCTTTCTCTCTCTCTCCTGTAATGTGTGCAGCGTTACGCTGTGTATTATCAGTGTGTGTGTAACGCTGGGTGTATTATCAGTATGTGTGTAACGCTGGGTGTATTATCAGTATGTGTGTAACTCTGTGTGTATTATCAGTATGTGTGTAACTCTGGGTGTTATTACAGAGATCTTCTGATCATCGGTGGTGTTCCTGCTAGAGACCAGCTGGCTGTACTGGAGCAAGGGGTAGGTTCTGTTAACCCCATAGGAGTCTGGGGGGGGGAGCTGGCTGTACTGGAGCAAGGGGTAGGTTCTGTTAACCCCATGGGAGTCTGGGGGGGGGGAGCTGGCTGTACTGGAGCAAGGGGTAGGTTCTGTTAACCCCATGGGAGTCTGGGGGGGGGGGGAGCTGGCTGTACTGGATCAAGGGGGTAGGTTCTGTTAACCCCATAGGAGTCTGGGGGGGGGGGTGGCTGTACTGGAGCAAGGGGTAGGTTCTGTTAACCCCATAGGAGTCTGGGGGGGGGGAGCTGGCTGTACTGGAGCAAGGGGTAGGTTCTGTTAACCCCATAGGAGTCTGGGGGGGGGGAGCTGGCTGTACTGGAGCAAGGGGTAGGTTCTGTTAACCCCATAGGAGTCTGGGGGGGGGGGGTGGCTGTACTGGAGCAAGGGGTAGGTTCTGTTAACCCCATAGGAGTCTGGGGGGGGGGGGGGAGCTGGCTGTACTGGAGCAAGGGGTAGGTTCTGTTAACCCCATAGGAGTCTGGGGGGGGGGGGAGCTGGCTGTACTGGAGCAAGGGGTAGGTTCTGTTAACCCCATGGGAGTCTGGGGGGGGGGGGCTGGCTGTACTGGAGCAAGGGGTAGGTTCTGTTAACCCCATAGGAGTCTGGGGGGGGGGAGCTGGCTGTACTGGAGCAAGGGGGTAGGTTCTGTTAACCCCATGGGAGTCTGGGGGGGGGGAGCTGGCTGTACTGGAGCAAGGGGTAGGTTCTGTTAACCCCATGGGAGTCTGGGGGGGGGGGAGCTGGCTGTACTGGAGCAAGGGGTAGGTTCTGTTAACCCCATGGGAGTCTGGGGGGGGGGGAGCTGGCTGTACTGGAGCAAGGGGTAGGTTCTGTTAACCCCATAGGAGTCTGGGGGGGGGGGGAGCTGGCTGTACTGGAGCAAGGGGTAGGTTCTGTTAACCCCATAGGAGTCTGGGGGGGGGGGAGCTGGCTGTACTGGAGCAAGGGGTAGGTTCTGTTAACCCCATAGGAGTCTGGGGGGGGGGAGCTGGCTGTACTGGAGCAAGGGGTAGGTTCTGTTAACCCCATAGGAGTCTGGGGGGGGGGGGGCTGGCTTGTACTGGAGCAAGGGGTAGGTTCTGTTAACCCCATAGGAGTCTGGGGGGGGGGGGGGCTGGCTGTACTGGAGCAAGGGGTAGGTTCTGTTAACCCCATAGGAGTCTGGGGGGGGGGGGGCTGGCTGTACTGGAGCAAGGGGTAGGTTCTGTTAACCCCATAGGAGTCTGGGGGGGGGGGGGCTGGCTGTACTGGAGCAAGGGGTAGGTTCTGTTAACCCCATAGGAGTCTGGGGGGGGGGCTGGCTGTACTGGAGCAAGGGTAGGTTCTGTTAACCCCATAGGAGTCTGGGGGGGGGGGGAGCTGGCTGTACTGGAGCAAGGGGTAGGTTCTGTTAACCCCATAGGAGTCTGGGGGGGGGGGGGCTGGCTGTACTGGAGCAAGGGGTAGGTTCTGTTAACCCCATAGGAGTCTGGGGGGGGGGGGCTGGCTGTACTGGAGCAAGGGGTAGGTTCTGTTAACCCCATAGGAGTCTGGGGGGGGGGGCTGGCTGTACTGGAGCAAGGGGTAGGTTCTGTTAACCCCATAGGAGTCTGGGGGGGGGGGCTGGCTGTACTGGAGCAAGGGGTAGGTTCTGTTAACCCCATGGGAGTCTGGGGGGGGGGGGGGCTGGCTGTACTGGAGCAAGGGGTAGGTTCTGTTAACCCCATGGGAGTCTGGGGGAGGAGGGGGGGGGGGGGGGGGGGGGGGGGGGGGGTTTAACCCTAACCCTAATAAGCTATATGGAAGGTCTTACCAAGGATAATTTAGCTATTTGATTTAGATTTTTAAGACCCCTTGAACTATCAAAAAAATATACAAACATTATTTGATGAGAAAATGTTTTGGGCCTTACTGCTATTAGCCCATAGAAACGAATTGAATAACAATTTCACTACATGGAACAACAGATGGTCCCAAAAGGACGTTTGTTCTGAAGTGTCTGTCCTATATCTGAGAGATAAGAAAGATCAGGAAACATTTGTTATTTTTTGACATGCATGTTAAATACACTGCATCACAGTGTCTTGTCCAGAACATTGAGTCATTGAAACTGAAACAGTGCATCCCGAATGGAGGCAGGAAACAATGTACCAGACCAGCTGTGATTTACAACCTGATAGCAATATATTTTTGGACTACCAAGAAATGTACTGGTGAATTATATTAATCATGCATTCAACTACATCCATCTATTCTGCCAACAATGCCTTAGTGTACATCATAGAATGTTGAGTCAAATAGAACCTATTTTTAAAACCTCGTATAAAGTTGGTGTTGCAGCATAAACTGGGAATTTGATATTTTTGACTGATATTAAGATTTGTTTCGTATCTGCAAAGTAGTTAAAACGCTGTCAGTTCCACTTTTTAACTACTTTTCCATCCTCTTCCACTATTTCTCCCTTTCAGGTGGACATGGTGGTTGGAACGCCAGGTCGTCTTGACGACCTCATCTCTACAGGGAAACTCACCTTGTCTCAAGTCCGCTTCCTGGTCCTGGATGAGTGTGTATGTACCTCTGACTGTCGGGTGTCTTGTTAATTTATATTCTCTTTGCTGTTCTGTGTTGCCCAAAACAGAGCAGGGGTCCTCCAAACATTTCTAGCATGAGCTATTTAAAAAAATAATAAAACATGTCACCAGCTTTCAAATAGTCCCATTCTTCTCTTCTCTCCTCTCCCCTGCAACTCTTCTCCGGGTCCTTGGTGTACAAGAGATGGGTTTTCTGTCAATATACCTGGTAAAATAATGGTTAATAAACAACTAAAGGGCCCCATAAAATTATCATCTTCTGTATTTTCTGGAATTCTGTTTTTATTTTTCCTGGTAAAAACAAAATGCATTATCAATTTTTTTTTTGTCTTTTGTATTTTTTGGGTGTGTTTTTCTTAAACTCTCAAAATTACACTGAACAAAAATATAAACGCAACAATTTCAAAGATTTTACTGAGTTACAGTTCATATAAGGAAGTCAATCAATTGAAATAAATTGATTAGGCCCTAATCTATGGATTTCACATGACTGGGAAGGCAGATGCTGTCTGCCATCTGCCCGGTACAGTTGAAACCGGGATTCATCCGTGAAGAGCACACTTCTCCAGCGTGCCAGTAGCCATCGAAGGTGAGCATTTGCCCACTGAAGTCCGTTACGACTCCAAACTGCAGTCAGGTCAAAATTTGAGAGAAATAAGCTTTTTGTCCTTATGGAACATTTCTGGGATCTTTTATTTCAATGTATGAAAAATGGGACCAACACTTTTTTTAAATGTTGCGTTTTTATATTTTTGTTCAGTGTACAGTTAATAATATAGAAACAACAAATGGATGTTCTGAGACCATGTCAATGCTTAAATCACATCAGAAGACCAGTTTTGAGGTAAAAAATATAATATATAATTGTAAAAAAAAAAAAGATTGTGTAATTCCCCATTAGTTGCACATTTTAGAAAGAGGAATGTGTCGGTCTAGCATTGTGTATTTTAGGCTGCAGCATGTCATGGCAGAGTTTGCAAAGGTGGTATGGCCACCCAATTTGATACAAATAATTATGCTGTCTTTGTCAGGTAAGCCTACTCTGCAGTTAACATTTTAATTGAGAAGGTTTTTGGGAAAGTCTTTGTCTACCCACAAGACTGTTATCATTAGTGTCACTAACTGGCTACACACGGAGTGATGGGGGCGATAGTGCTGGAAATTAATTGGCAGATATTGTGTTAGGTTTGGCTTTTTAAGCCAATAGTGGCTAACCAGGGGTGGGATAATGTCAATGTGGCTTTGATTGGATAGTAGCCAGGAGCTTCTTTATGACCGTTTGCGATGGAACAGATTTTTTAAAAATTGCATGTACTTTCAGAATTGCTTGGTGAGCTACTCGTAAGTGGGCTGGTAGATACTGTTAGCTGGGGATCTACCTGTTGGAGACCCCTGGTTACAGACCCCTGGTTACAGACCCCTGGTTACAGACCACTGCCTAGTGTGTAACCTATATAAAGCAGTGTAACATAAATATCATGTTATCTCCACTCCAGGATGGTCTTCTCTCTGCGGGCTATACTGACTTCATCATGAGAGTCTACAACCAGATTCCTCAAGTCACCTCGGACGGCAAGAGACTTCAGGTACAAGACCCCTAGTGTGTGTGTGTGTCCATGTGTTAACCTAATATATATATTACTCTCTCTACCAGGTGATAGTGTGCTCAGACTGTGTACCCCTCTCTCTACAAGGTGATAGTGTGCTCAGACTGTGTACCCCTCTCTCTACCAGGTGATAGTGTGCTCAGACTGTGTACCCCTCTCTCTACCAGGTGATAGTGTGCTCAGACTGTGTACCCCTCTCTCTACCAGGTGATAGTGGGTTCAGACTGTGTACCCATCTCTCTACCAGGTGATAGTGAGCTCAGACTGTGTACCCCTCTCTCTACCAGGTGATAGTGTGCTCAGACTGTGTACCCCTCTCTCTACCAGGTGATAGTGTGCTCAGATCTGTGGTACCCCTCTCTCTACCAGGTGATAGTGTTGCCTCAGACGGTGTACCCCCTCTCTCTACCAGGTTTGGGCTAGTGTGCTCAGACTGTGTTACCCCTCTCTCTACCAGGTGATAGTGTGCATCGACGCTCCACCCTTCGACGTACTCCGTCTACCCGTCAACCGTAACACGTGCCAGACTGGGACCCTCGCCCAGACCACATCCGGTCATTGGGGTCAGTAGAATGTACCCTCTCTCTGTCCATTGGGTCGATAGATAGCCACTCCTGTCCATCCTGGTCAGTAAAAAGCTTGTCAGAGCGATCATGCACTTCCATGGGTAGCCTGAGAGGATTCTGTCCCAGAGACCGTACATCACGTGTCGTACGTCCCCTAAACCGACCCAGCGGGAACGCCTCGCGCCAGAAGAATCCGGTCAGTGTGGGTCATGATAGAATGACCACTCCTGGTCATCGGGGGTCGATGAATGAACCACTCCTAAGGTCAGTCTGGTAAGGTCGTATGCACAGTAGTTAAGGCACTGCTCGCAGTGATCTGTGCCACTAGAATGGAACCAACTCTGTCGTACCGGGTGACGGAACCATGGGCGGGTACATAGCAGTCGTCAGGTAGGGGTGGAATGGCCGGCGGTGCAGTTGTGATGCCTTGCAACGCCAAGGTTGTGGGTTCGATTCCCACGGGGGGCTGGTATGAAAATGTAAACACTCCTTAACTGTAAGTCGCTCTGGATAAGAGCGTCTGCTAAATGACTAAAATGTAAATGTAATAGAATAGAACCACTTCCTGGTCAGTCTGGGGTCAGATAGAATAGAACCACTTCCGGTTTGATCAGGGGTCACCATAGAGTTCAGTAGAGCAGGGTTTCCCAAACGCAGTCCTGGGGCCCCCCTGGGTGCACGTTTAGTTTTTTGCCCTAGCACTACACAGCTGATTTAAATAATCAAAGCTTCATGATGAGTTGGTTATTTGAATCAGCTGCTAGGGCAAAAACCAAAATTTGCCCCCAGGGGGTCCAGGACTGAGTTTGGGACCCAGGGGCCCCAGGACTGAGTTTGGACCCAGGGGTAGAGGATGTGTATCCTGGATAGAAAGAATGAAACTATCTCCATTTCTTATTTTGCTACTAGAAGTTTGACACTCCCTCTTCCTCCTCTCCCCCCTCTCCTTGTTTATTAATCTCCCTCTCCCTCTCCCTCTCCCTCTCCCTCTTCCTCCTCTCCCCCCTCTCTCTTTCTTCCTCCTCTCCCCCCTCTCCTTTCTCTCCCTCCTCCTGTCCTGCCTCCCCCCTCCTCTCCTGTGTGTGTTTCAGACTGATGAGGTCCACGCTAAAGACAACACCAGACCAGGGGCCAACAGCTCAGGTCAGACAGACCCCCTGTCCCCAATGGGTCCTGGTCAAAAGTAGTGCACTATAAAGGGCAGGGGTCACCAACTAGATTCAGCCGCGGGACGATTTATTTAGTGAGTGGATGGTCGGGGGACCGCAACGTAATAATTTGTAGACTGCAAATTTGACCGCAAGAAGCCCAAACAAATATAATATTTGACTAAAACCTTGATTACATTTCTATAGAATCACACATCTCTCTATTATGCGTGGGGATACTTGGGAACAGATTTCCTAAATTAAAATCACTTGGAGCTCATTTCCTGTTTTTAGTCTTATCTCCAACAATGGACATTTGCTCAGAAGACTTGGGGGTCCAAATAAAACGGCCCGCGGTGCGCCAGTTGGGGAATCCTGATATCGGGTGCAATTAGGGCCATTCTATTACATTCTACTGTGCTTTATTGTATTCTACCGTAAGGTTATGGGCTGACCTGTTACCCTGTGTGTGTGTGTCTGTGTGTGTGTGTGTGTGTGTGTGTGTGTGTGTGTGTGTGTGTGTGTGTGTGTGTGTGTGTCTGTGTCTGTGTCTCTCTGTGTGGTGTGTGTGTGTGTGTGTGTGTAGAGATGTGGTCGGAGGCCATCAAGATCTTAAAGGGGGAGTACACCATCAGAGCCATTAAGGAGCACAACATGGACCAGGCCATCATCTTCTGCAGGACCAAGATAGACTGTGACAACATGGAGCAGTACTTCATACTGCAGGGGGGAGGTGGGTGACAACATGGAGCAGTACTTCATACTGCAGGGAGGAGGTGGGTGACAACATGGAGCAGTACTTCAT